CCTCTATTTCCATGAGTAATATTTAGATGACAGATGGAAGGTGGATGATAGATATAGATGGTAGATGATGTACATGCACAGTCAGTCTTAATAAACAATCTCCACTTTATAACTAGACAATCTAAATGTGAAGACACTTGGGAATTTAAGTAGACCTGACAGAGATAAGTATGTAGATGAATGTGAATAATAAAATAAGGTTATAATAAAACAGACCCTATTCCCAAGCAGAGTAACAGAATCCTCCTTGTGAGTGAAAGCTAATTTACACATTCTGTGATTTTTTTTTACGTTCTGTGTATTACTGATGACACTGCTATCTCAGATGTAAACAGAAATTAAGCGTAATATTTTTTTGAATATCTGATGACTGATGTCTAATATTAGGTATAGTGTTACTTTATTTTGAAGTACCATTTAGTCAGTTTCACAGACTCCTCAAGTGAAATTTACTGAGTTTATACACATTGTCCATCTAACCTGATGGATTTTTTCACTTCCTTGTGCTTCTCATAGTTTGTTAGATTTTATGATATCTTTTCTCAAAAAAAGAAGTACTTGTTCTCCCTCTGATGATGAGTTATGAAAAAACATAATATGAACCTGAAAACTCGCTATTTGGATTTTTGTTTTCCTGGCAAGAAGATTGGTTATATTCTCTTGATTAAGTCCTCAGGAAGGAAGAACTCCATTAGCTATAAGAGCTGACATATTCAGAAGAGTTTCTTAGGTTTTCTCCTAGTAAATAATTCTGGGAATTTATTTATTCATAGAATTCTTTCTGACTAAATCATCAATTATTTGAAAATATTCCCTCCTTCTGACTAATAATCAGAATCAGTACAGATTTTTTCTTTATGGAATTTAATACTTTACAGAAATTTGAACGTTGGCCTTAAATAGGGCACAAAGGTAATGAATAGCCAGTCAGTGTTCAAACAATCTACAATATCCTCAATAAGGAGACTTTTGAAATCTCCAAAATATCATTTAGGAGCAAACTTGACAATTCAACTGACATATCAATTCCCTTCTTATTATGTAATTGGTAGGATAGTAACAAAAATAAAAACCAGTGTCTCTTTGTTCAGGACTGGGGGTTGCAGTGATGAAGGAAAATTGGAGAAAATTCAGTGGACTGTTAGAAATACCTGCTGCAGCTAAAATGGATGCTGTTGAAGAGGTGTGCAGTTTTCAGCTTTGAGGTGGACATTGTGGGCATGGTATCAAGAAATAACTTCAAAATTTGTTGGCTACTCAGAAAATTCTCATGAATTTCAGTGTAAAAATAGTAATAATCATTTTCCACTTCAAACAACTTTATTATTGCCCACTCATTTTTCAGCCTCAGTTTCCTATCAGAAAACAACCATTTATACAAAGGTGGCTGTTTCTGTAGGGTCCAGCTGGAATTTGCATAGTGTTCCACCCATGCTGCTTTTGATGACAAAGGGGCACCTGACTGACAAAAGCACAAAGTGGATTTTGAAGTTCACATGTTTAGTTCAATTTGGCCAAGTTCACATGTTTGTACTCTTTCTAAGTGCTTTGTAAGAAATTGAGGACCTGGAAGAAGGGACTGCACTGCACATAATTCAGAACAGAACCATGTCCTAAGAGAATAAAGCAGAATAATGTGTCGAGAAGCAAGTAAATGTCTACTGAAATGGTAGTAAAAAAATGTTAAAATATCACTGAATTCTAAAAAGACACCAATAAGATAAAGGCGTGTAAAGTCATTGCAGGAACAAATGTTTCCAACTAATCAAACATTTCCTTTAGAACTGGCATTTAAAATATTGTTATTGTCAAAGAAATTTTGCGACACATGTTACCATATTAGTAACCTTCATACAATCCTCTTCAGTGATGCCAAGGGTATTCACATTGATTTGGAACCAATATCCATAGGCTTAGACTCTGGAAACTGGAAAGCTGTATTTATTAAATACAGCTTTATATATTTATCTCTCCACCTCGAATGCCATGTATAGAGTGTGAAGAAAATTTAATTTATGGCAACAAAACAAAATTTTATTTTATAGAAAAAACAAAAACACTTTTATCTTTGGCTCTCACTATTGACAATTCTAGATTCCAATTAGACCAGATTCCTAGAAATGATGAGGAGTGAAGTTTGTATGTAATGAAATATATCTCATCCTATAAGGGAACACTGTTTAGATAAAAGATCATGGCCTAAATGTTTCATAATCAAACATCAACAGCATCGCTATGTATCAAGGACTATGGTAACTAACTTTAAAGCTTTATGTAGAACCATGTCAAAATCCACTAAGAATTGTTATCATGTTGTACTAAAGCATTTTGAGGCCTAAATCTATTCTTTCTTAGTTTGCCTGTTGCATGCAGGTAGTACACACAACTCACATGTTTTCTTATTGTTACTAAAAACTTTTTTGTTCACGTAAATATTATTTCCTTCTTCTATTTTTCTCCTGTCCACATCACCTTATATTTTAATCTTTTCACTGTCTCCTACTGAGAATATCAGCCTGGCATCTAAAAGTCTTAATTGTGGTAAACACATTAACTTTTAATTATTTCTGATAGTACATTGTGTTATGGGTATTTATCATATTGTGGAGCCAAGCTCTATACTTTTTCCTCTTGTGAAGCTGAACTCTACTCTCATCAAGCAAAGTATCTGGATTTTTACTGTCATCAGTCCAGGCAACTATAGTTTGCTTTGTATTACCATAAATTTGACTTTTACATAATGGAGCCATACACCATTGTTTTTGACATTAGCTTCCATAGTGTGGTATGGAGTATTTTTACTTACTCAAGTCATGGTAAGTGTGAGGAGCTCCTTCCTTTTCAGTATGGAATATCATTCCTTTGAATATATTTTTCATGAATTATTTATTTGTTTAATAGATTAACTTACTCCTTGCTTTATTTCAAATTTTTACCATTGAAAACACAACTATTGTGATTTTAGCATATCTTTCCCAAATGTTATTGTTAGAAATCAGCAATGTGTTGTCTTTGAATTGGGGCAGAACAGAACTTTTATATTTTAGGAGATAAATGACAAATGTTTCAATCATGTGATACCACAGTTATGTAATTACTCTACCACTATTTTGTAGAGTATTTCTCCTGGATCAATATGAGATTATCTCTGGAGGTTTTCTGAGAGAAAAAAAGTCAAATCCTTATCATATAAGGAGTATGGGAATGAAATGGGGGTCTCAGTCATCAAAAAATATTGTGACAAAGAAATTAAAGGTGGGTTTTTCTACTTTATGGTAGCATATTTTATCCAACCAAAACAAAGAAAAGGTTTATCCTAGGTAAGTGGTTATTCAAAAGCACTGTAGGATACTTAAGCTAGGTGATATGAAACAGGTTTCTAGTCTCAGCACTGAAAGGATGAAATAGGAACAGGACCAAAACTTTGAGTACAGCGAGGTCTATAAAGTGAAACCCTGTCCAAAGTAAATAAATAAAAATTAAAACTGTTCAAAGTGAATCAAAATAAAGAGGGAATATATAATGATGAAATAGTCAATCAAAGAAATGTTTGTACAACACTGACAAACATGTTTGCTCCTAGCACTATTTACTTCATCCCCACTGGTCTCTAAGTTTTAACTATTTCCAGCAATGCCTATTAAGTATGAGACAATAGACTCCCCTCAAGACTCAAGAACTATTGCTTTCACATGGGAAACACTGATGATACATATTTCCAAGAGTCTACTGTAGGTTATTGATATTGATAAAGCATTCTTATGCTAAAAGGAAATGTATAAGTTTATAATTGGTCTAGAGAAAAATAAAAACACAGAGTGCAGGCATAACACTCTAAACTCTTGATTTGATATTGTTTTTCTTCAAAAAAGAATCCATACTGGATGTCAGAGGCAACCTTGATCCCATATTTGCTGTTTGACACTCACAAAGCCCTTCTATAGTGCTAAATCCTGAGAGCTGTGCCTTTTGAAGCCTGGTATGCTATGGTGCTGCCCACTGTAACTCTACTCTCACCTCACAACATAACATTCGCTACAGGAGCTCCAACATCTGACTGATACCTGTTTGTTCTCTTTCGTTCCACTTTAATATTCTTTGACTTTGACAGTCCCCTTGACCTCACAGTTCTATTATTCTGTGATCCTGAAAACTCAGTGCCACATGAATATCTTGAGGGCACCAATATGAGCTATGCCTGTGACTTCTAGAACCCTAGAGTAGGAACAGAACATTTAGACAACTCAATGAAAAGAAATAATTTCTGAGTCATTGTAGCCTATGAGCTCATGCAATGTGTCCCTGGGTTCTAAGAATGAGTTTTGTTCTTGCAAACCTCTGGGCAAGGCATAGAAGTCAGAACTTTGAAGACTTCTGGAATACATTCGAGCACTTTCTCCAGCTGTCTTGATGTAAACTGGTTGGCTTCTTTTTAACCACAAACTTTCAATAGCAGACAATCTGTTCATAGTCATTCCCCTTTTTATGATTTCCTGCCCATACTGTAATCAATATAAGCACGTTTAAGAACTTAAAAAGGAGGGAATTCATATGCTAAAATGATAAGCAGAACATGAATGTCATTTCCTTCATTCAGGGAGCTTATGCATATTTATAAAAGAAAACAATTTATGGGTAAGAACCATCTTGGCCGTTGTCAGTTTAAGGTCAGAGAGCAAATGGGAAAGCAGACACAGTTTTGTGCTGCTTACCTCAGACTCATAAAGCCTTGGGAGATGTAAAAATGTCAGAAAGAAATTCTTCTAGCTAGCTTGCTAATGTTATGAAGATGGCAGGGGAAAACAGCCTAAGCTTCACAGCTTGCTTCAAATGCATCACATGAAAAGAAGGAATAAGATGGGAAAGGTGGTATGCACAACGGAACTTGGGACTTGAATGTAAGATATTTCATTTTTCTATCTTTCTACTCTTGGCCACATTTGAAATTTTCTACAGTAATATATTTTATAATACACGCAATTACAAAACTGACCCTTTACCTTTAAGTATACTTAGTTCGGCGAACTCCCTGACCAGCAGGAAAGAACAGCCACCAGACGAGGATTCTTCCCAAATCACACTTTATTGGAGCCTCTTGGTTGTAGGGAGAGCAGAAAGCTAGGGGCCCAGAGCTCTGAGCTGCAGCTGCTTATATAGGGAGTCTGCCTAGCAACCTTTGATACTTTAACTGCTTCTCTGGAGACCCACCGGCCAGGAAGAAAACAAACATCCTTGTCAATTACAGACCACAAGGAAGTTCCCCTGCCGGTCAGGGGGAGTGTGGGCAGCTAGATCATAACAACTCACCCTGTTTTCTGGTGGGAGAACTGCAATCTCTATTATAGAAAGGAATCGTGCCTGAATTGGCCGATGCCTGCTGATGCTCCTGGCCACGGAATTGGCCCTAAGCACATATGTGAGAGGCACGGTTCCACTGCATTGCCTAATATGGAGTTATTTATCAAGCGATGCCGGGGCCAAATGCCATCTTCTAATGGCAGCCACTCAAATCGGCTCCCAGCACTTAGAGCAATGGCCCCTCAACCAAGTTTCTATCTTAATCTCCTTTTAATAAAATAAATAAAAAAAAGTTCGAAGAAAGATAATTATGAATAAAAAGAGCAGTTTCAGGTCAGAAATCTCGAGGGTGACCCAAACCGATACCCCTGGTTTGGCTGAAGTTCCCACAGTGAAATGTAGATTGAGATATAATTTGGCAGAAATAAATTGTATCATAAAGCAGAAAGTCAAGAGAACCCATGTGAGGGAAAATAATCTCATGATAATTTATGGTAACAAATCAGATCATCCTTTTTTTAGATACATCCCCAACTCAGAGAAAGAAGTTTTAGTGGACTCTGCCTTTTCCTTAAAAACAAGGATATCATGAACCTGGAATAATACAGTATTTTTTTTGGCATCAAATAAAAAAAATTAAATCAAAAGATTTCTGAGTTGTGTGTGCATTAGCAATGATTTAAGAGGTACTTAGAGGCAGGGATGTGCCAAGTAATATTTTGCTAAACAAAAGAAATCATATTGGATGATATTTCCATAGTTCGGTCACCTACTGGTGGTATAGTCAACTTATATTGTAAAGTGTATTCTGTGATGTTAACAGAAGGATAGGATCAAATACCAACACATCACTATTAGTATGCATCTATCATTCAGTTATGTGTAATTATATTTGAACAATTCTAAAAACACTTTCATTCTGATTCCTTCCATGAAAGCCATCAGTCTCTTAAGGATTCCAGAGCCATCTACTATTACTGTTGCCTTGTATGATAAGCTCCCCAGACACAAATCTTTGAGAGGACAATGACATCTAAGCTACAGTATCCCATTAAAGAGTGGACCAAAGATTTAAATGAACATTTTTTCCAAGTATGATCTAAAATGACTAGTATAAATATCCACATGTTATATCCAGGTCTTTAAGGTGTCCTGCCTTTGGCCCAATTTTATACAAGATCTTCACTTACTATTTCCATCTAAAACATCAGTGTAACATTTACTGTCCTTACCTATGCCAAAGTTCTGTTTCCTGATGTTTAGTCACTTCTGAGACAGCCTACCTTACACTGAACTGTATCAGTCACTACAATGTACAGGTGGAAGCCACCATGTAAAGCCTATGTCCCATCACTAGGATGGTAAACTCTCCAATGAGCAATGTGATGTGCAGAAAGAAGAAGATACACGCATGCACTGCTGAACATATCTGAAGTGTTGTAGTAACTTTGAAAAGAATCTGGCTGGTCCTCAGATAAGTTTACACAGATGGAGCAATTCATATATCCATAATACATATGTGCACAAGTATATCTATATTATGATTAGTAATAGCTAAAAGGAAGAAGCGGTTAAATATCAATCGTTGAAAGATAGATATGAAAATTATATTATATTGATACTATGAGAAAGAATAGACTACTCCAATATGGATCAGTCTTGGAGCTGTATGGCAACATAATGGAATTACAAAAGTTTTCATAGTGTATAACGCTATTCACATGAAATCCAAGAACACAATAAATGTATAGACAAAGAAAATAATTTAGTGATTATTTAGTTAGAAGGTTATGGAAGTAAAAAGAGTCAAAAGATACCAGATTTCCTTTGGAGGTGATGGAATGTTTTATACTTGATCACAATAACGTTTGCTTTCACCAGTGGATATACTAAAAATAATTAATTATGTAACATAATATGTAAGTTATCTTTCAATAAAGCTTTATCAAGCTGAAAGTCATTGCCATTTTTACTGCTTAGCATGTCTGTATCTAGAGATTTTTTCCATGTTGCAAACTATTCTCGTTTAATTGTCAACTTTAACTGTAACAGAAAAACAAGAAAGTCAATCCCACAAGAACAAGGCATCAGATTGATTACAGAAAAAAAAAAAGCTATACTACCATGCCATGGTTGGTTAGGAACCATGATGTTTCAGAATAAAGCAAATAAAATGGAAACTCAGCTTACTCAGAGAACATTTAGTCCTCAGACATTTGAATTAAAACCAGGGCTATCGAATATTCCTGTTTTCTCCGAGTCATCTGTGTTTCCTAGCTCTGTTGACTTAAAACATCAAATGGGAGTATGATAGAACAGCATCCTTGAGACTAGATACAGCCAATGAAAGCTTTTATATCCTGATGTAACCAACAATGATGTAACAGTACAGTAATAGCTTGGAAACAAACAGCTGTGGTTGGTCTTGAAACTAATATTATCAAAGATTATTATTTGTCAAGTGTAAAAAAATATATTTGTATATAATACACATACATTTGTAGAAATATTCATATATATGTATATATACATATGTACACATGCATGGTGAAGCATATCTGGTTAAATATTAATATATGTGATTTACATATGAAATTGTATGGCTGATTATACAAATCTAGATGGAGAAGCATGAATTATAGTTGGTGGGAATTCACATAGGAACTAGTCCTTGAATATAAGATATTTCATTTTTATATCTTTCTGCTCTTGGCCACGTTTAAAATTTTTTAATAAAATATTTTATAATAAAAGTGTTCAGGTATTGTCAATTTTCATTATAATTATAGATATTTTTCTATTAAACTGGATTAGGTATAATTAAATATAGCACTATTAATGTCAAGAATTGGAAGTGGTATTTATAACTCTAATCAGGTCATATATATTTCTTTTTAAGAACTATTTTGAAGAGCAAAATAATCTTTTAGTAAATGCATTTTTTTTTCATCAAATGGCAATAGCTTTTTGTACAGATATCTGGTATAAATCAACATGGCAGCGGGACAAAATTTAGCTAGTTGTGGATTAAAGGTGAATGTGTTTTGTTATTCATTAATGAGTCCTTGTATAATTATATTTAATCCTTTACCTTTAGTCACAAAGACTGTTTTTTTTTATTACCCTGATACAACAAGGACTTGTCTAACACTGCTTGATGAGTGTTTTCTAACTCATAATGTCACTTTGCTGTCATACCATTTGTGCTTCTTTGCCCTACTCTTTGTGAATGAACTAGGAATACTATTGCCTACTGTCTTCCCTCTAAACAGAGAGTGATGATGTATTTCCCCATACTAGATGCAAAGATCAGCCACAGCTTTCCAGGTGGTAAAAGAAAGCAGAAAATCTGTTCCCATACACTACAATAACTACTTGTATAGTGATAGGAAATACATCATAGCCAATTCTCCATTCCCTAGAAAGTCTCCTGAATGATGCCACAGAGCTGTGTACTGGAATCAGAAAATGCTGACAGCAATAAACCAAGTCTTTATGTCTATGGCTAAATTAAAAGTGAAATAAATTGATGCTATCTGAACCAGTTCAAGTAAGTCAGCATATAGTTCTTTATGCATCTGTCCTTGCTATGAGAACATTTCCTTGGCAGTTGCAAAGACCTTGAATGCCTCAGACCATCCTTGGAGTACTTCGTTTCTCACTTGGTTAAGTCTCCACTTTCAGAAGCAAATGGCCTTGGGAAACTAATAAGCTGGTGTTGTCTTGTTCTCCTATTTTGTTTGGTTATAGCAAATTGTCTAATGTTTATCACAGGAGTTAAATAACATTATTCCTTTGTTCCGTCAATTTGCATTTTGTATGACAGCAGAGGTCTTTAGTTTTTGCTCAAACAACAGCGAAAAACACATTTTTGTTCAATAAGGAAAGCATGTGTGTTGTCTGAGTTTTCTGTCCTGCCTGGTTCCCACAGTCGTTGGTTCTAAAGAAATCGCACAGAGATCTACATTAGTTATAAATGGATTGGCCCATTAGTTCAGGCTTCTTATTAAATCTTAAAACTTATATTAGCCCATCATTCATATCTATGTTAGCCATATGGCTCAATACCTTTTTCAGCAAGGCAGTCACATCTTGCTTTTTCTGTGGCTGGGCCAGGACTGCTGAAAGAGCTTTCCTCTTCCCAGAATTCTCCTATTCTCATTGACCAGCCTTCTACTTCCTGTCAGATTGTCTTACTTATACTTCCTGCCTGGCTAATGACCAATCAGCGTTTATTTAAAATATAATTGATAGGATACAGACAATTGTCCCACACCACATGTGGACTATTGGACACACTAAATGGACCAAGTAACTGCAAAGATATGCAATGATCACACTGCATAGATATTTGTTTTGTAGTTTATGAAAATCTAAGAAAGTATTTCACAACAAAGGATGATGCCATTCTTAGAGCATATTCAGATACCCAGACTGCTTTCACCATGCCTACTGTGTCAGGGAGACCAGATACCCTATTTTATAGTTGCTTTCAGTGACAGGATGAAGCTGAAGCCAGGAGTTAATGTGCAAAAGATACTTAGGAATACTTGAATTACGTTTTCCCAAGAGTGTGCATTTAATTCCTCTTTACATGGCATTAGTGAAACCTTATAAAGCTCAGTTTACGATCAAGGGGGTGTTGGATAATAAAGTCTTTTTCTAGATTCCTAATACCTAGATAGAGTTCTGCAATTCAGAAGGTAATGAGAGAGTGGCTTTGGTGATGCACGCCTTTAATTCCAGCACTCTGGAGGCAGAGGCAGATGGATTTCTGTGAGTTCCAGGCCAGCCTGGTCTAAGGAGTAAGTT